GATTGGCACGTTAACTTAGCGAACAAGCTGAACACCAGCTTCTTAATGAGCCGAACACGAGCTGTTCACGAACAACGAGCCGTTTTGACAGCCCTACTATTGTGAGACCAACAGAAAAAAGAACATCATGAATTATTGTAAGTTCAAGAATGTAGAAAGGAACTTTAAGTAAAGGTGGTGTAATTCTGTACATTTCTTATTTTCATAATGGAATTTGTTTGTGCAATGTGACTTCGTTGTTTTTTCTTTTCTTGAAGTTTTCCACATTAAAAATTGTGTTTTTTCTGTATATCTTGTGTTTTGTGTTTCTATTCATTTTTCTTTTTTTCCAAATCTCTCGAAATTTTGTATTTTTCGAAGTGCAATTTAGTTGCGAAGTTATCACATTACATAACATTTAAACTTTGTTTTTAGTGCTCAAAATATAGCACATTACCTGAAAATAATTTGAAGAATCCCAAAATGTAAGGTTGGAATAAATCAAATTTTAAATTATTTAATTTGCAAAATAAATTATTAGGTTGAATGAATAATTTTATAGTAGATAAAGCTTTGAAGGTAGTAGGAGTCTAGTCAAATTCAATTTAGTTGACTAATATAAGCCATGCACTTTGTATAAGCCATTCAATTTAGTGGAAGCTTCTGCACACCCCACACAAATTGAAATGCAGGGGAGGCCCCGCATTTGATGCATTCTCTTAGAATAGTCAGTGGAATATTATATTTTTAGTCTTTCTTGTTCTGATTTAAATCTTGTTGATTAGAAGATTAAGGGTTTAATTAAGGTCAATTTTATTATATATATATATATTATTTTTAAAAATATATTTATTTAAATATGTTTGATATATTTTTTATTTTTTTAAAAATTAATATATTTTAGAGATACTCATAATAATATTTAGATATTTTGAAAATTTTTTAAAATAATTATATCTTAATACTTAAATCCCCTCTTTGTAATCAGATTCTATTTTTTATTTTTATTTTTATTTTTAGTATTTTTTTTTCTATTTTTATAAGATGTGTTTGTTTGATTGATATGTTTTTAAAAATAAAAAATATAAAACATGTTTAGTTAGTTATTTATTATTTTTTTAAGAAAAAATTAAATTTTTAATAAAATTGTTGGGTTCACGTGCACTCTAGTATTAAGCTCTATCGTTCGTAACATACACGACATCTTCATTGCTTCATCCAACACAAGCATTACCTGTGGGGCGGGCGGGCGGCTGACATGTAGGCGATTGGCAGGCGACAATGGGCGGTCGGCGACTGGCGATAAGTGGTTCGATTTAACTACAGCTTCTATAGCTGGAATTGGAATTTATTTATTATATTATTAATAAATTCCAACTACAGCTTTCGCAGCCAACTAAGAATTTTATAATCAACTAGGTTTATTGTAGCCCAAGTATGACTGTTGTTGTCAGATTACATTATCTAGTCGTGATTAGGTTTTTGTTATTTCGTATTCCCTAATTTAGAAAAGAGCTGACATCAGTACTTTCAATTTCCTAGTGAATTGTCTGATTATGCTAGACTCCATGATTTTTATCCATTTCTAAAGTTTTTTCACATAAAAAATATAATTGTCTACTGTATTCCTATTTATATGTGTTGGAAAATTATACAGAGCGAAGGCTTAAAATATGGTTGTCAAATTTAGTAACATTTATTTTCGATCATGCAACAAAAGGGTATAATTATAATTTTGTATAGTTTTTGCATGCCATCATCCATCCTAATATCAAATAATTAATGTTTCTTACTGGTTCTTGTGGCCTACATTCTGTTATCACCCACTGCTCTTTAATTTCATGATAACAAAAATTTTGAAAATAGGTCAAATAAGTTTACATAAAGCCCCTCATTTTAGTACTAGTCGGTAATTCCAAGGAAATTTGAAAAATTACCTGATCAACTTGTTAGGTAATGTGGAGACCCGGTCTACTGCAATTTAATTAGTTTTCCAATTAAGAATCACACCTACCGCTCACCTACCACACTTACCTACCGCTCACCTACCACACTCACCTACTGCTCACCTACCTCCCACCTACTGCTCTCATAGTTTCTATAAATAACATCTTATGACTTATCATAAGCAAGGCCAAGCAAGGCCAAGCAAAGTCAAGCAAAGTCAAACCAAGTGCTCTAAGAGAGAAAGAGAGGAAAAGAAAGAAAGAGGAAGAGAGTGAAG